CTCTCTGCCATACGGGTGTCCAGTAAATAGCAAAGTTACCAGCATCAGGAACAGGCCTGCCTGGGGACCCAGGACAAACGTGTAAAAACATACTTTAATGTCAAGACTAAATTGCCTTTGGTGAACGTCTTCAGCTGTTGGTGAGGAGATTTGTTTCTGTTTAACTTCTAAAGAGCCAGGTTTACATTGCCTACGGAAATGATGGTAAGCTGCTTTTGATGCCAGAAATAACTTAAAAAACATCACAGCCCTGTGGTGTGACCTGAGATGTAGGGTACCACCAATGTTGGCAGTGGAGCCAGATGGTCATCACCTGTGTTATGAGAAGTTTCTTCTTCCAGGTGAAGGGAAACTTTTTTTGTTTTCCTTAAATTTCACTGGTGGGTATTTCATTCACAGGTTTTTTCCCATGAATCAAAAAAACTATTGTTCTGAAGGCAATGCGTGGTAAACAATCCTCTCTTTTCCCACTGTGTGATTTTTGAGACTCTTCTGAGGCTTAACTGGCAGCCCCACAGAGAGGGAAAAGATACTTGCTGGCTGCTCTGACCCACTCCACTTAAACATTGCATCGCCTGAGCTTTACGTTCTGCTACTACTCCATTGCCAAAGTAAACCTCAGGGAACAGGTTCTTTCCTCCAGTGCACCCATTTGTGACTCTCCATACTTCCTTCTTAAACGCAGTGTTTATTCTATTCACTCAACCTGCCACTTTGGCACATGAGAAGCTTCTCTAAGTCTAATAAAATCATCCTCTATGGTTTGCTCTTAATGCATGTGTGTGTATCCACTCATGCAGTTGCTTCTTCTTTGGCATGCATTGGGACATTTTTTCATCTTTTAAAGTATTTTTTAATGTTAGGGTGGTGGATGTGTGTTGGATGGTGCCTGGCAATCTATATATTGTGTACGCGTGCCTTGATTTTCTTGTTTGTGGGGTTTCCTAGTGGCTGCTAACGTGGACAGTTCTTGACAGATAAAATCAGGTGTTTGGGTATCATGACTGGTTCGTTTTGCCTTGTGAAAATTATAGTAGTAATTAATGGCTAGGTGTTAATCCAAGCTTATGCAAATCTTCTTCCAGAGATTGCAGTGTATTGGAAACCAAATAATTGTTTACTGAAGGTTTAATCCTGTCAGCTACAACCACCTGATCCTGGTTCAGGAAAAATATTTCACCATATGATTAACATTGATTCTTGGAAGGACTCTCTGTTAGTTGTAGCTTCTTAATGAGATGTTTAAGGGATGTTGAGCCACTGGGGAGCCAAGCAGTCCAGCTTGCTGGGTTTATGCTCTCTCTTGTAAGGGGCGCAGACAGAATTCTGAGCTCTCTGCGCATCTCGCCTTGCACCCCAGCTAGGTACTGCTTTGCCTTATATCCTTATATGACTGACACAGCAGTGACTTACAGCCTGCTCTTTTAGCATCATTACCAAAATTTCCACCTCTGTTTGGGCAAAAGGAGCCGGAGTGGGCCCACTGCTTGCACCTCAACTTGGAGAAGTCCCAGATGGGATTGGGGCATCTTCTTTTAGACACCTGGTGACAGATCCTTCCCAAATGAGCTTGCAAGACTTGGGCAAAGTGGATGAAAAGATGTAACCAGGGCACAGGATCCTTACCTATTTGTATCTCCATGACAGTTTTCACCGTGCTGTGTAGGAGCTGTGGGAGAGCTACTTGCAGAAGACAGGGATTCTCCTGGTCCTGACACGGAGATAGTGGGGGCTTGTTGGCAGAGCACACATGAAGATGTGCTGGGTGGGGTGAGAGCTTGGCCTCGCTGCTCCCTGGCTGCGGTGGTTCAGGCTTATACTCTGCACTCGGTTGCATGCCTGCAAGTAATTCCTGACATCAGCAACCAACTCCATCTGACAGTTTTAGTGTTCTTGTAAAAGTGAGTTTTTATCATCCATGGCTGCACACCGGTTGCTGCCTTAAGTTTCTGCAGCTCTTTCGGGTGGTCTCTCTTTAGAGCAACCATAGTAAGTGGCATTTTTTTATCCTCACTTGCTTGCAAAAGCGTAAGTCAAATCCCCATCACTCCCTCTCTAAAGTTGATTTAGTACCAGGGAATGATTAAAAACAAAAGTACATTGCCAAGTGTAAAAAGCTTGGCATAAGACTATTGTGGCAGCTGCTTAACGAATGCGGTCATCTATTATTCCTCATCCTTCTCACTGTATGTTTTATCTCCCTGTTGTTGCTATGCGCTTGGCTGCTGCTTTTCTTTTTCCCCTTCTGTTACTTCTGGGAGCAAAGGATAGGATTGGCTTCGTGTCACCAAGCCAGGAGGCTGTTCCTTTGGTAGCAGGGGACTATCAGCCTTCCATAAACTTGCCCCGTGCATGCATGTGTGCACAGTGGGTCTGTGGAAGGCGTTTGGCCCATTGCCTAATTTCTCCTCTAATAACAACTACGGCTTCTCTTTTTAACTGCCTCCAGAATAGCCAAACATAAAGTACATTATCTGTATAGCTTTATTGCTATTACTCCTTTGGAGGGGAGAAGGAAGGAAAAAAATATGGAAAATTGACCATTGTCAGATGCATTTAATAATCTGTGTTGTGTGTAGCTTATGCACAAAAACAGCCTCTCCATTTAAGCCTTAACATTACCATGGTTAGTGCAAAGTTGTAATTTACATTAACAAGTGTTTACAACAAAGACTGCAATAAGTTAATTAAAAACCAGGGCAATAGCTGGAGTGTCCCCAGCTTGTGCTTGATATCAAGTTCTGTCTGCTTGGCTCCCAGGTCAAGTTGCCAAAGGTTTCCAACATCCCTGCTGAAACCCCAGGCATCAGAAGAGCCAAGTTCACTGCTCTGCTGCAGCACTGGCATTGCTGTAGCTATTCTGGTATGAAGTTGTGCACATAACTCTCTGGAAAAGGAGGCTGGCTGCCTTTTTCATCACTCATTTTGGAGAAGGAGCCTGGCTGACCAACTTAAACACTCCATCGCTTTCAGTGGTGTCCCAGCCGCTAAGGAGAATGAGCACATGGAATGTGTTTCTTGCTGCAATACACAGACGTGAACAGGACAAAGCATCTTTCTGAACACTCCTATTGCTCGCCCTTTGAAAGGGTCACTTGTTTGCTGCTTCACACTGGGCACAGCCAGCAGCAGGAGGTTTGTTAAGTGATGAGAATGGAACATAAATGGTCCCTATTTAGACACTCCAATTGCCTGTTCTTTTTTTCTGCAGTGTATTATTTCTTGAGCTTCCACAGCTGATGGAAATTCTCTGCAAAGCAAAAACTCCCAAAGCTTTGGGAGAGTGCAAGTGCTTGTCTAGTGCCAACTTTGCCAAATCACATGAGTTCTGGTCTGATAAACAGTAACTTGTTTTCCATAAGGGAGGCTTGTGACAGGTCAAGCCATGTCCTTATGATGCTACAGCCTTAGAAATAATTATGATAGTGACTCATAACGAAAGGCTTTTATTCATAATGCTCCTTGACTATGCTGCATTGTAAAAAGGCTGTATAAGTTACAAGGCAAATGCAGTCAGCTCCTGTTGCAAAAGAAGTTCTTATTCTCCAAAAGCTAAACCAGAAAAAAGGCACAAATGATGCAGTCTTATACAAATTACTTTTTCCCTGTAAAGCACATAACGATGCCATTAGCACTAGTTTTGATGAATATATTAAGGAAGAAAAAAAGTAGCAAAGTTTCCCCACTCTTGCTCTTTTGATATTGTTGTTGTGTTGGAGGAAGCGTTGGAGGTTGCTCTTGGAAGACGGATGTTCATGGAAGAGCCATCTCCACTTTGTGTAATCATTTGGTGAAACAGCTATCCTGTTTTGATATTGAGGAAAGCTTGCTGGAAACGTGGACTTTTTTGGTTTCACTACCAAAGCTTCAGAAAGAAAATCATAGAATCACAGAATGGTTTGGGTTGGAAGGGACCTTAAAGACCATCCAGTTCCAACCCCCCTGCCATGGGCAGGGACACCTTCCACTAGACCAGGTTGCTCAAAGCCTCATCCAGCCTGGCCTTGAACACTTCCAGGGATGGGGCATCCACAGCTTCTCTGGGCACAGCTGTTTTACTCTGTCTTATCCAACGAGCCACTGATACCCCACATCCAATAACCACTCTTTCTGGTTGAGGTATGCTGCAGTAAGACTCAACTTGTGCCTGTACCTGGTCAGAGCAGAATTTGCCCCTAAGGATGAGGCTGGCTAAATAGCTGCTCTTGCTGTCAATTAGTGCCCTGATCTTAATTTACCACTCTGGGCAGCTGGAGAGGTGCTGGGAGTGAGTGGGGATGATGGCAGTACCCCTGATCCTGGGCATAGCACATCAGTGCACTGGTGAGGAGGGGTCTGGCACCCTTTGGAGGTGTCTGAAGGCCACGATTGCTCTGCCAGAAGTTACATGAGGAAATCAGTGTTTTCAGGTGTGTTAAGTCGAACCCCTCAGAACTCATGTGCAGTCTCAGAGGCAGAAGTGGCAGCACCCTGGGCCAAGCTTGCCCCTGCCTGATTGCAAGGACTGCTGGGCTGCGGGAATGATGTTTGAGGTCCTGTTTCAATAAATGTGTAAGCAGTAGGTTGTGCATTTGGGAAACACAGTGGCGTGATGGTACATGATGGTAGCTGTTTCCTCGGGAAAACAGCCTTATCTGTTCACATTTCCTATCTGCTGGTTTCTCTTTGGCTAACCTGAGTCAAGTGCAAGGGAGAGACAGGTCTTGGAGGTCATGTTTCCCTTACAACTTAATAGGCCTAAAAGAGAGGTGCTTCTAATACACTGTCTAACCTTTAGGAGACATCAGAGAGTCCCTGTGGGAGTGTAATCCATTGAGTGCAGTGGGAATTCAGTGGCAGTCCTCCCTGCAGAGCTGCTGTGTTTCCTTTGATCACTTAACCTAATAGCTTTGGATACTGTGGAATCCCAAGTGTGAGCTTTTCTTCCTAAACTTGATCTCTTTTTTTTTTTTTTTTTTAAATACTCTGAGGATGTGATAACTTTTGCTTTGTTTTCCCAGGTGCTCAGATAAGCTGTTTTGCACCCAGCTCCTTCTCCTGGCGACAAGCTGCTTATGTGGACTCCTACTGCTGGGCAGCTGTGCAGCAGAAGCAACCAGCCCAGAACAACTCAGAAAACATTCCCTTGTGGCTGCATAAAGTACGTACAGAACTCCTTTTCCTGGAAGAATTGTTCCAGTGTAGAAGACTGCCTTTGCCTTACTTTTGTTTCTCTTCTCTGCTATAGTCCTTGGCTTTGACTTAACTCAAACCTCTTTTTAGAGAGAATGTTTTCTTTCAATAACTTCCAAAGAGAGTAGTACTAGAGAAGGCATTTTCTCCTTTTAAATAAAGGGTCTGTCGTGCTATAATAACAAATATCATAGAATCACAGAATGGTTTGGGTTGGAAGGGACCTTAAAGATCATCCAGTTCCAACCCCCCTGCCATGGGCAGGGACACCTTCCACTAGACCAGGTTGCTCAAAGCCTCATCCAGCCTGGCCTTGAAGACATCCGTATCACCAGTTATCTGACACAAGAGTAATGTTAATGTCTCACCTGCCTTTAGCCAAGAACCATTTTAAAATCAAGGTACAAGACACAACTGCCCTAGTGCTTGGATCAAAAGCTTACTTTAGGAAAACAGGACAGTGAAAACAGTTCATACGTTTATTATATTACATTTGGCCAATTTTGCATGGAGTGGAACTCATGGCAGATAGGCATTTTGGGAGAGATGAAAGTCATCACTGGTACCAGCAGGTTTAACCCCATCTTCAGTGTGCTTTTCTGAGCTTCCACAGACTGTTCCCTTACTAACCATGAGCTGGCTTTCAGTGCTCCAGGTAAAGCATCATCATGCTGAATGCACAATAAGAGACTTATTTTATGAGTAAAAAGTGCAGTAGGTACTAAGATACTTGAGCTGGCTCAACGCGGTTAGCTGAGCTTTGGCAGGAGTTACAAACTGAGTAAATGCCATGGCAGTGCCTGGAGCTGACTCAGATCGAGAGGCAGCATCACCCTGCTTGGGCAGTGCAGATGCCAAAGTAAGATATGATGTTGGAGCTCTGCAAATCTGGGGTGTCGTGTGATGCCTTCCCCAGCCCTTTTATTACTTGCCCCAGCAAATAAACCCTCCTGGCACTTGGGAGGGGAGAACCTGGTGCAGGAGGGAGCTCAGGTCTGGGACCTGCAGCACCTGTATTTCTGGGGTTTGCTGGTGTATCCCATACCTCAGCTTTTATTATCTGGTGGTATCTCCTTTGCAAGACTATTAAGGGTTGTCTCTGGTTTGTTTGCTGACTCAAATCACTAACTGTAAGGATTTACTACTTCCTTCTCCAGTTAGCTCCACTCATAACCTTGAGCCAACGGTCTTGCGTTTCATGAATATTAAAGCCAGACTGGTTGGTTTCTAACCTGAGTTCTTCCTTGCTTTGTTAGTGCTCCACTTCACTTCAGCAGAGGCCAGACAAAGCTGCTGGGGCATCTTGCGATGCAGGCGGCTTCTGCGGGTGGAAACTCTTCCTGCAAACCTGGATACGTTGCTTCCCCTTTCGCTTGAGGGAATGTGTTCTTCTTACACGATTTCTTTACTTTGAATTTTATGCCACGGTCATCTGCTGATAGCTGTAGGTCTCCTAGTTTGCCAGCCATGACTAATAGCTTAAGTAGTCATACTTCCATGATGCAACCCATGTTAATTTGCTGACTGGTGCTGTTTCAGGAATTGATGCAGGGCCCTTCTTCCCACAGTTCCTCCATGATAGCTGAATGGTATGTGATGTTTCCTTGTAAATACCCTGCAGATTGGCTGCAAGAAGTGTGTCTGAACAGCTGAGTCAGAGCTCGTAGCACAGACTGGGTGCCTCCTCTTAACCTCCTAAACCCATGCTTAGTCACCTACCCTTCCACTGAGCCGGGCACTGGGAGCTGCAGGTGCTGTTTGGAGGCCAGTGCTAATTAACATCCTTTTACTGGTTGTTCATCCACTTCCATGCTTAACAAGATTTCAGGGAAGGAGCAGTGTTACAGCTATTAACACTGACCTTTGGTTCCCACTGTGATGGGAACATCTGAAGGTGTTTGGCTATTGTCTGCATCCAGGGCCAGCAGCTGCCGGCTGCACTTCTGGGTGTCTTGCCGTGGGGGCTGATCGCTCGCAGGAAAGCAGGGCTTGGCTCGTCTCCTGGTGCAGGCTGTGCGCTGCAAGGTACGTACAACCTCACTGCTCTGAAGCTTTTGGCTACATAACCATTTTTAAAATGAGCAGAGCAGAGCCTTTGTGGGATGTTACTGATTAGGATGATATATACATAGTAAGGATATATTAACGCTGATATTAATGAGAAAATGGAGCCTTCCTAAGCTCAGGAGAGAGATTTGACTCCATACTGCAAGATCAGGGGTGCACATAGAGGGCCAGTGGGGATCATCAGGCCCATTTTTTCTTAAGACAACGCTTGAGGCTTTTTTTCTGCTTTCTAAGCAGCAGTGCATTTATTTACAAAGCATCTCAGGTTCTTTCTAATACTCAGACTCAGCACCTTGCTATATTGATGTGCTCGAAGGCTCCATGAGAAATGGGTTAGATTACGATTTGGAGGCATTAGATTACGATTTGGGGGGATTGAAGTTGTAGGCCCCAATTCTTGATTGAAATGGATGCATTTCCTTATGGCATGTTCCCTGTGCTCTGTCAGAAGTCCTGTCAAAGATCTGTGTCCTAACACAGTGCTCATCATGGTACAGAGTGGAAGTAGGACCATGTAGCTCTTGGTGAAGAAGCCAACTTGCAGCAACTTGCCCTGCTTTTTTTCTAGGCATCTAGTTGCTCTGAAGGATTATCAAAACCAGGTTGCGTTATGGAAAAACTGAAACCTTCCCACTTTCCTCCTATTTCAGAGAGAGGTTTGCCCTGGGATTTTTGTTTTTTGCATCAATAAAATGTATGTTTCAATTTGGGCAATCCCCAAAGCTTGGGCACCTTCACCTGCTGTCCTTTTTGCTCTGAGAGATCTCTTGAATTTATCAATTTGGAAACTTGTTTTGAAGTGGAGAGGAGGAACATATGCAGCTTTCTGGGTTCCCTGTCTCTCTAGTGGTCTGTACACTCCCAGAGGGTGCCCAGGGCTTCTCTCCTTGGAGAACAGGATTTTTGAAATTTCCAGAGATCCTGGAATAGCTCTTCCCACTGGGTAATACTTAGCAGAAAGCAGAATGAGATGTGTACTCAAATGTTTAAGAAACAAACTATCTGCAGGTAGATAAATGGAAAGAAGGGACCATGATATATCCTACATATATTCTTACTTTAATGCTAAGATTTCCTCCTTCATGGCTGAAAAAGCTGACAAAATGCTTGTATGATTGAGTCCTCTGACAAGACTCATCTTCAGGTTTGTCACTGATGAAACTTAGTCTTCTCAGGCTTCGCCCTTCTGTTGGCTCTGTTATCTTCTGGGGTTTTTGATTCAGACTTAATTCCATCAAGACTTGTATTTGTCTGAGGTGTCACAACAGAGAGACTGTTTTCTGAAGATGAGTGGGGGAGAGAGACAGACAGTGCTGATGTGGGATGGAAGTGTCATGTATTGGCTCCCTCTGTGCTAATAATTTGCTTCCTGTCTCTAAAGATGAATGTTCCACCTGACAACTTATTTTGATAGAACTGAGCCTGATCCTTAACTGGAATAGAAACAAGCTTTTGGCCATTGTGAGTGGGCAGTCCTTGCAGTCCAGAGGAAGAGAAGTCTGTACTGCAAAGACTTTTTAATCTGTAGTGCACAGAGATGTTTTTAAAGTTTTTAAACTGTATCAAAACAAAGTAACAGGTGGGGTAAAAAAGGTCATGTATGGTTTGAGATTCACTTTCAGATCTAGAGGCAGGATAATATTTCAACCATAAGGCAACCCTCCGAATGATGAGTCATTTGTAGCTCATGTTTCTGCCCTGAAAACCAATGAAACACCTCCCATCAACTCAGACAGGAATAGGGTTGTGTACAGAGGGAGCTTAATACCTTTGCTTCTGGAAACGTGTCGTTGCTGTCGTTAGCCAGTTTGGGGGCTGATGTCTTTGCTTAGGCTCTTCACGGTGGCATATAGAAATTGGGAACTGAAGAAGCAGTCACTTCACCATGATCTTATTTTCTAATAGGAAATACTTTCATCTGGAGTGAAGACAATTCAGGGCTTCCTTCTTTTTCGAGTACTGTATGGCAATGAATTACCTCAAGGCTGTAATTTAGACCCGTGCAGCTTAACAGCTTCGTGCTATTGTACTTAAAGTAAGTGTTCAACTGCTATTAAGTATGGTAGAAATCTGGATGCTTGCAATCACTGTAATAGTGTTTTCCCAGAGCAAATAAGGACTGAAGATGCAGTAAAATTAGACTATTATTGTTTTCTATATGTCACTAAGGTGGTTCTCATCTTTTGCCAACCATCTTTATCCAAACCTTGGCAAGCTCTCTGTAGATTAGGTCTTTCAAAATGCCTTTTGGGTCACACCACCCTTGGCAGCTATATTTTTTGGATGATAAAAGCATATTTGAGCTTATGAAGAAGTTTTTTAAATGCCCTTTGGACTTTTTTTTGCTGTGTTATGTACCGGAATTTAGGACACTTGAAGCTGGTGATGTTATAATAGATGATTTTGAAGTTTATTCTGATTTTTCCTTTCAGCTGCAGGACAGTGGGATGCTAATGCAGGCTTAAAAGACAGTTTTGTGATTCCAGTGTCTTATGTGCTTATGCAAACAGATTACTCAAACGCTTCTTCTATACATGTGCATATGTTCTGGTTGAGAATTTAGCTGGTTTCTAACAAAATAACTTAAACGGACTGATGTCTTCAAAGCTTATTTCCTTGGCTTCCCAGTCATTGGTGAAAAAAATTGTGTCATGAGTATATCAGGAATTCATTTTGGTATTTGTAGTGCTAGCACCGTATGGGTATTTATCAGTGGAAAGCTATGCGTGAGCGTTGGGAACTGAAATGTAGTGATGGTGGTTCATGCCATTCTGAGTATTTATCTGAATGCAGATGTTCACAAATTCTGGTAAGACAGAGTTGCTTCGGAAAATATGCATTCAGTTTGTGCAGGTCATCTTCACGAGAGGAGCAAATGCAGGCACTTGAGTGAATGGTCAC